ATTTCTATTTCCTTGGTTTTAGTCATGATCTCTCCCTTTTCATTCATAATTTTATTAATTTGGGTCCTTTCTCTTTTCTTTTGGATAAGTCTGGCCAGTAGTTTATTGATCTTATTAATTCTTTCACAGAACAAACTTCTAGTTTTGTTGATCTGATCTACTGTGTTTCTGGTTTCTAATTCATTGATCTCTGCTCTAATCTTAATTATTTCTCTTCTAATGCATGGCTTAGGCATTGTTTGTTGCTTTTTCTCCAGTTATTTAAGGTGTAAAGTTAGTTGGTGAATTTGGGATTTTTTTATTTTTTTGAGTGAGGCTTGGATGGCTATGTATTTCCCCCTTAGGACCACCTTTGCAGTATCCCATAGGTTTTGGACCGATGTGTTTTCATTCTCATTGGTTTCCATGAATTGTTTAAATTCTTCTTTGATTTCCTGGTTGACCCAAACATTCTTGAGCAGAGTGGTCTTTAGCTTCCAAGTGTTTGAACTTCTTCCAAGTTTTTTCTTGTGATTGAGTTCCAGTTTTAAAGCATTATGGTCTGAGAATATGCAGGGAATAATCTCAGTCTTTTGGTATCAGTTGAGACCTGATTTGTGACCCAGTATGTGGTCATATACATACACATTCTGGAGAAAGTTCCATGTGTGCTTGAGAAGAATGAGTATTCTCTTGTTTTAGAGTGGAATGTTCTGTATATATCTATGAGGTCTATCTGGTCCAGTGTGTCATTCAAAGCTCTTGTTTCTTTGTTGATTTTCTGCTTAGATGATCTGTCTATTGCTGAGAGTGGAGTATTGAGGTCTCCTACAATTAACGTATTTTTATCAATATGACTCTTTATTTTGGTTAACAGTTGGCTTATGTAGTTGGCTGCTCCCATGTTGGGAGTGTAGATATTTACAATTGTTAGATCTTCTTGTTGGATAGACCATTTAAGAATGATATAGTGTCCTTCTGTGTCTCTAACTACAGTCTTTAGCTTAAAATCTAATTTGTCTGATATAAGAATTGCTACCCCAGCTTTCTTTTGAGGTCCGTTGGCATGGAAGATGGATCTCCATCCCTTCACTTTCAGTCTGGATGTATCTTTAGATTCAAAATGAGTCTCTTGTAGGCAGCATATGGATGGGTCCTGTCTTTTTATCCAGTCTGCAACCCTATGCCGTTTTATGGGAGCATTTAGGCTGTTCACATTGAGAGTGATTATTGAAAGATATGAATTTATTGTCATTATGTTGCCTGTGAAGTCCTTGTTTCTATAGATTGTGTCTGTAAATTTCTGTTCTATATCACTCTTAGGGTCTTTCTCCTTTTATAGAACCCCCCTTAATATTTCTTGCAGGGCCGGCTTAGTGGTCATATATTCTTTTAGTTTCTGCCAGTCAAGCTCTGCATCTCTCCATCTATTCTAAATGACAGCCTTGCTGGATAAAGTATTCTTGGCTGCATGTTCTTCTCATTTAGTACCCTGAATATGTCTTGCCAGCCCTTTCTGGCTTGCCAGGTCTCTGTGGATAGGTCTGACGTTATTCTGATGTTCCCCCCTCTGTACGTAAGGAATCTCTTCCCCCTAACTGCCCTTAAGATGGTTTCCTTGGTTCTAAGATTTGCGAGTTTTAATATTACATGCCAGGGCATTGGCCTGTTTTCCTTGATCTTGGGAGGGGTCCTCTCTGCCTCTCGGACGCGAACGTTTGTTTCATTCCCCAGATTAGGGAAGTTCTCAGCTACGATTTGCTCAAATATATCTTCTAGTCCTTTCTCTCTCTCCACTCCCTCAGGGATTCCAATAATTCTGACATTGGAACGTTTCATGGTGTCACTTATTTATCTAATTCTGTTTTCATGGATTTTGAGTAGTTTCTCCCTGGCCTCCTCTTTTTCCTTCTTTTCTATCAATTGGTCTTCTAGATCACTAATTCGTTCTTCTGCCTTGTTTACCCTAGCTGTTAGAGTATCTAAATTAGATTGGATCTCATGATAGCATTTTTAAGTTCTGCCAATTCAGCTTTCATTTCTTCCCTTAGAGACTCTATGTTGCCATTAATCAATTTCTCCATTCTAGCTATTGTCTTCATAACTGTTACCCTGAAGTCCATTTCCGAAATCTTGGTTATATTTGTATCCATTTGTAAATCTGTGGCAGAAGTCACAGTCTCTGAGTCTTTCCTATTTTGGGGGTTCCTCCTCCTAATCATTCTGTTGAGGGGTGGTTGAGGGAATGTACAAAGTCCAGATTATTGACCACAACCCAAGCCAGATGCACCTGTTTTATAGGGAACCTTGGGGTTGTCAGCCTCTTGTTCTCCCAGCCTGTCTTCTGGGGGAGGGGCCTGCTGTGCTGTTACTCAGACAACACTGTTTGGGCAGAGTTGCCCTGCCCCCTGTGGGGGGATGGGCTCAGTGAAAACCGGTTTTTTAGGGCTTTTGTTCTCTGGTGGCTTTCCCTGGGGGCTTTCCGTGTCTCTTCCAAGAGTCAGAGCAGAAGAGGTCTTTTCCAACCCTCTGCCTCAGAGCAGAGAAATTGCCGTCTGTTCTTCAGTGAGCTCTCCAGGCCACACTATCTCCATTTCTGTCTGTGCTGCTATAAACTGCAGTGTCCTTGGTTGTGTGCCCCTCAGCAGCGCTCCCAGTCCTTGCCTCCATGTCGGGAAACATCTCTGCTCTTTGTGCTTCTAAAACCACCAGCCACCCCCAGTTCTCACGTGTGGCCCCACCGCTCTGGGTTTCAGTTGGGGGGCTGCCCTAAAATCCTTTCCCTGCCACTGCCGGTCTGCAAGTCTGTGCCCCATCCCCAGAGTGAGAGGCTTTCACAAACTGGCGGTGCAGGATCCTGAAGTCTCCCTCCCCCTTCCATTTATCTTCTGATATCTGCCCGCGGAATCACGGCTTCTTGCTCCATACCTCGAAAACAACCACCTGTGATATTCTATTTGTAGAGATCCAGATCTATCTTCTTACATCTCGGGCTGATTTTGTGGGTGTTCAGAGTGGTCTGGTGGATATCCAGCTCTATTCAGGGGACCGTTTGGAAGAGGGTCCCCTACTCCTGTGCCATCTTTTCCCTAGTCCTGATCCTGTGTACTCTTTACCCAGTTTCCTCAATGGTGACATCTTGGAAACCTCTACAATAGTATGAGATCACAACCAGGATATGGATGTTGATACAGTCAAAACAGGAACACTTGCATCACTACAAGGATTCCCATGCTGCCCTTTGCAGCCATATCCACTCTTTCCCTTCCCTACCCTCTCCTTAACCTTTGACAACCACTAATCCAGTCTCTATTTCTATAATTTCATTATTTCAAGAATGAAATCATATAACACATAAATTTTTTTTAAAAAAAGATTTCTTTATTTTAGAGAGCAAGTATGCATGAGCAGGGGGATGGGCAGGGTGGGGTAAAGGGAAATAATCTCAAACAGACTCCCCCGCTCAGTGGAGAGTCGGCTCAGGGGCTTGATCCTGAAATCATGACCTGAGCCAAAATCAAGAGTCTGACCCTTAACCAACTGAGCCACCCAGGTGCCCCACATTTGCATATAACTTTTAAGGATTGACTTTTTTTCACCCAGCTTCATTCTCTGGGGATTCATCCAGGTTGCGTGTGTCAGTAGGTTGTTCCTTTTCATTGCTGAAAAGTATTTCATGATATTGATGTACTCTAGGGCATCTGGGTTATTTCTAGTTCCTAGCTATTATGAATACAACTGCTATACACAGGCCTGTACAGGTTTTTGTGTGAACATAAGTTTTCATTTCTGGGACAAATTCCCAGGAGTGCAATTGCTGGGTCATGTGGTAGTTGCTTATTTTTTTTTAAAGTAGCTGCCAAACATTCCCAGAATGGGTGTATCATTTTACATTCCTTTCAGTATTATTGAAAAATTTTTGAACTAAAAAAATGAAAATAATACATGATTATTACAGAATTTTAAACAAATAAGAGTATAAAGAAGAAAAATATCAGCCATAACCACACCCGGAAGTAACATTATGTCCATATATTTTCTGGCTTTTCATATATTTTTTAAAAATATATACATCTTGGGGTGCCTGGGTGGCTCAGTCATTAAGCATCTGCCTTCGGCTCAGGTCATGATCCCAGGGTCCTGGGATCGAGCCCCACATCGGGCTCCCAGCTCCATGGGAAGCCTACTTCTCCCTCTCCCTCTGCTCCTGCTTGTGTTCCCTCTCTTGCTGTGCATGTGTCTCTCTCTCTCTCTGTCAAATAAATAAATAAAATCTTTAAAAATATATACATCTTGATCTAGATTTGATGTTTCTTTGGGACAAAAATGTTTCATACTTCTTTGTCTCTTACAGTTCCCTGCCCAACATAAATCTCACATTTAGGGATTTAATATAGGTATCTTTTCATTAACTATTTGTTTTCAGTCATTTTGGGATACAATAAGAAGTTTAGAATTTTGAAAATAGATGGTATAAACCCAATTTCATTTTCTCATAGAATTATACTGTGTTTTTTACCTATAATTTACAAGAAGTTGCACACAAACACAAAACTATATAGGCAGGTCCCAGGTATCCTTCACTCAGTTTCTCCAGTGGTAACATTTTGCATTACTGTAGTACAATATCAAAACCAGGAAATTCACAGAGCTTATTCAGATTTCACCAGTTTTTTTTTCTTCTTTTTTAAAAATTTTATTTATTTATTTGAGATGGTGGGGAAGGGCAGAGAGAAACTCAAGCAGACTCCATGCTGAGCACAGAGCCGCTGCAGGGTGACATCCCAACGACCCTGAGATCAGGACCTGAGCTGGAACCAGGAGTTGGATGCTTAACCAACTTCCACCCAGGCACCTGCAGATTTCACCAGTTTTATATGCACTCGTGTGTGTGTGTGTGTGTGTGTGTGTGTTTAGTTTCATATTTTTAACAGTGAATACTTATGTGTTAATTCATGTGTTACTTATTTTTTCTTAGTTTTGTTTGACTCAATATGTTTGCCTGTTTTTCAACCTTTCAGTAACAAATCCAAAATTTTGGAAAAGCGCCTACGATATTTAAATGACCACTTCACATACAACTTATATTGTAATATATGCCGATCACTGTTTGAGAAGGACAAGCTGCTGTTTTCCTTTTTGTTATGTGCCAATCTTCTTCTGTAAGTTACTTGATTTTTTTTTTATTTGCTTTAAAAAACTTGCCTGGGAAAACTAATTGATGAGGAAGGCTTCTCACAGAAGGATATCATATTTCTGCTCTGTTTAAGTCATGATTTTACTTGTACTTTACTTGTAGAGAACTACAATAGTATTGGTGTTTTGATATTTAATAGATTTTTAAAATGTGGGTCACACATAAAAGTCCACACAATATTCATATACACTTCAGTGAATTCTTATAAAGCAAAAATTATGTAACTACCAACCAGGTCAAGAAATAGAGCCTTTTCAGAGTGCCTGGCTGGCTCGGTTGGTAGAAAATGCAACTCTTGATGTCGGAGTTGTAAGTTCACTTAAAAAAAAAAAAAATAGAGCCTTTTCAAATTGGTTTCTTTCACTTAATAGTATGCACTTAAGGTCTTTCCATGTTTTTTCATGGGTTGATAGCTCATTTCTTTTTAGAACTAAGTAATATCCCATTCTCTGGATGTATCACAGTTTATTCACCTACTGAAAGACATTTAGGTTGCTTCCAAGTTTTGAATATTATGAATAAAACTGCTATAAACATTTGTGTGTAAGTTTTTATATGCATATAACTTTTCAGCTCATTTGATTAAATACCTAAGAGTGTGAGTGCTGGATCATGTGGTAAGAGTATGTTTAGTTTTGTAAAAAACCTGTCTTCCAAAGTAGCTACACCATTTTTCATTCCACTAGCAATGAGTAAGAGTTCCTGTTGCTCTGCATCCTTGCCAGCATTTGGTCTTGTTAGTGTTCTGGATTTTGACCATTCTAACAGATGTGTAGTGTTATCTCATTTTAATTTGCAATTTGCTAATGACACATAATGTTGAGAAATTTTCATATGCTAATTTGCCATCTTTATATCTTCTTTGGTGTTGGGTCTTTTGGCCACTTTTGAATCAGTTTAATTGTTCATTTTTCATTGTTGAGTTAGATGATAGTCCTTCAACAGATATGCCTTTTGCAAATATTTTCTCCCAGTCTGTGGCTTGCCTTTTCATTCTTTTGACAGTGTCTTTTTAAATTTTAATGAAGTCCAGCTTATCAGTTCTTTCTTTCATGGCTTATGGTGTTATATCTAAAAAATCATTAACATATCTAAGGTCACCTAGATTTTCTCCTATGTAATCTAGGAATTTTATAGTTTTGCATTTTACATTTAGGTCTATGATCCATTTTGAGTTAATTTTTGTGAAGAGTCTCTGTCTAGATTTTTTTTTTTTTTTGCATGTGGATATCCAGTTGTTCCAGCACCGTTTGTTGAAAAGACTATCCATTATACTGCCTTTGTTTCTTTGTCAAAGATCAGGTAGCTGTATTTATATGGGTGTATTTCTGGATTCTTTATTCTGTATCATTGATCTATATTTGCTCTTTTGTAGTATTGACTTAATTAGCTTTATAGTAAGTCTCGAAGTCAGGTAGTGTCAGTCCTTTGTTCTTAAATATTGTGTTGGCTATTCTGGGTCTTTTGCATCTTCATATAAGGTGAACTTTATAGAAAATCCACAAAATTCTTTTTTTTTTAAATATTTTATTTGTTTATTTGAGAGAGAGAGCAAGAGCACGGGGAGGGGCAGAAGGAGAAGCAGGCTCCCCATTAAGCAGGGAGCCCGATGCAGGCCTCAATCCCAGGACTCTGGGACCATGACCTGAGTGGAAGGCAGACGCCCAACCAACTGAGCCACCCAGGTGCCCTGAAAATCCACAGAATTCTGTTCCATTGATCTATTTGTCTATCTTTTTTTTTTTTTTTTTTTTTACTAGTACAACACTGTCTTCATTACTGTAGCTTTATCATAAGTTTTGAAGTCCAGTAATGTCAGTTTTCTAGTTGTGTTCTTCTCCTTCAATATTGTGTTGCCTGTTCTTGGTCTTTTGCCCTTCCATATAAACGTTAGAATCAGTTTGTCAATTATACACAAAATAACTTGCTGGCATTTTGAATTATAGATCAAACTGGGAAGAACTGACACCCTGACAGTATTGATTCTTCCTATTCATGAACATGGTATATCTCTTCATTTATTTAATTCTTCTTTGATTTCTTTCATCACATTTTTGTAGTTTTTCTCATATAGATCTTGTACATGATTTGTTAGATTTATACCTAAGTATTTCACTTTTTTGGGTGCCAATGCAAATGGTATCATGTTTGTAATTTCAAATTCCTCTTGTTTGTCATTGATATATAGGAAAGTGACTGACTTTTGTATGTTGACATTGTATCCTGCAACCTTGCTGTAATTGCCTATTAGTTTTAGGAGTTTTTTTTACCAATTCTTTCAGATTTTTGGATTTTCTACATAGACAATTATGTCATCTCAAACAAAGATAAATTAATTTTTTTTCTAATCTATACATTTTTAAATTTCTTTTCCTTATTACACTAGCCAGGACTTTCAGTATGATGTTGACAAGTGATGAAAAGGAACATCCTTGTTTTGTTCTTGATCTTTGTGGGTAATTTTTTAGTTTCTCACTTTTAAGTATGATGTTAGCCATCGGATTTTTTGTGAATGTTCTTTATCAAGTTGAGGATGTTCTCCTTTACTTAGTTTGCTGAAAATTTTGATCATGAAAGTGTATTGGATTTTGTCAAATGAATTTTCTGCATCTACTGATATGATCATGTGCTTTTTCTTCTTTAGTTTATTGATGTGATAGATTACATTAATTGTTTTTTGAATGTTGAAACAGCCTTACATACCTGAGATAAATATCACTTTGTTGTGGTGTGTTATTCTTTTTATACATCATTTGATTCAATTTGCTGATATTTTGTTGAGAATTTTTGTATCCATGTTCTTGAGAGATACTGATTTGTAGTCTTCTTATACTATCTCTGTCCAGTTTGGGTATTAGGGTAATACTGAATTTATAGAATAATTAGGGAAATATTCCTTCTGCTATTTTCTGGAAGAGATTGTAAGGAATTTGTAGAATTTCTTCTTATAAGTTTCGTAGAATTCTCCAGAACCCATCTTAGTGTGGTGCTTTCTGTTTTGGAAGGTTATTAATTATCGATTCAGTTTCTTTAATAGATATAGTTATGGACTTCATAGATGGGCCCCGCATTCATACGTTGATATGCTAACTTCCAGTGTGACTGTATTTAGAGATGAGACTTATAAGGAAGTAATCAGGTTAAATAAGCTCAGAAAGGTATGGTCCTGATCTGATAGAATTAATGTCCTTAAAAAAAGAGAGCTACCGAGTGCTCTCTCTCTCCATATGCACACAGAAGAAAGGCCATGTGAGGACACAGTAAGAAGGTGGCTGTCTACAGGTGAGGAAAAGAGGTCTCATCAGAAACCAAAATCAGCCAGAACCTTGATCCAAACTTCTAGCCTCCAGAACTCTGAGAAAACAAATTTGCATTATTTATGCAACCCAGCCTATCGTATTTTGTTAAGGCAGAACAAGTACAATAACAGAAAGTCTATTCAGATTATCTGTTTCCCTTTGTGTGAATCTTGGCAGATTGTGTCTTCCAATGAATTGATCTATTTCGGCTAGGTTATCAAATTTGAGGACGTAAAGTTCCTAATATTGTTTTATTATCTTTCTTTTTAAAGATTTTTTATTTATTTGAGTGAGTGAGAGAGATCACGAGCAGGGGGGAAGGGTAGAGGGAGAAGCAGACTCACCACTGAGCCAGGATCCCGATGTGGGACTAGATCCCAGGACCCTGGGATCATGGCCTGAGCAGAAGGCAGACGCTTAAATGACTGAGCCACCCAGGCGCCCGTTTTATTATCTTTTTAATGTCAATGGAATTAGTAGTGATGGCCCTTCTTTCATTTCTGATATTTGTAATTTGTGTCTTCTTTCTTTATTTCCTTAGTTACCCTGGGTAGAGGTTAACCAATTTTATTGATCTTTTCAGGGTGCCTGGGTGGCTCAGTCGTTAAGCGTCTGCCTTCGGCTCAGGTCATGATCCCGGGCTCCTGGGATCGAGCCCCACATCAGGCTCCCTGCTCAGCAGGAAGCCTGCTTCTCCCTCTCCCACTCCCCCTGCTTGTGTTCCTGCTCTCGCTGTGTCTCTCTCTGTCAAATAAATAAATAAAATCTTTAAAAAAAATTTTATTGATCTTTTCAAAGAACCAGATTTCAGTTTTACTGATTTTTCCCAGGACCTGGAGATCATGACCTGAGTGGGAGGCAGACACTTAAGTGACTGAGCCACCCAAGCGCCCCTAATTTCATGAATTTCTTCTCTGATTTTTATCATTTCTTCACTTCCACTTGCTTTGGATTTGATTTGATCTTCTTTTTCTAGTGTCTTAAGGTGGAAGTCTAGATGATTGATTTTAGATCCAATAAATGCATTCAGGGTTATAAATTTTCCTCTGAGCATTACTTTTGCTGCATCCCACAAATTTGGATAAGTTGTGTTTTCATTTTTATTTAATTCTAAATATTTGTTTCTCTTGAGACTTCTTTGACCCATACATTACTTAGAATTGTGTTGTTTAATTGCCAAGTATTTGGGGGGTTTTCCGGCTATCTCTCTGTTACTGATTTCTGGTTTAATTCTATTTTAGTCAGAGAGAATACTTTATATGATTTCTCTTCTTTTAAATTTGTTAAGGTGTGTTTTATGGCCCAGAATGTGTTCTGTCTTGGTGAATGTTCCATATGAGGTTGAGAAGAATGTGTATTTTGATGTTGTTTGATAAAGTATTCTATAGATGTCAATTGTATTCAATTGATGTATTCAACTGATGGTGCTGTTTAGTTCAAGTGTGTCTTTACTGATTTTCTGCTGCTGGATCTGTCCATTACTATAATAGTGGATTAGTCTATTTTTTCTTGTCTATCAGGTTTTCTCTCATATATTTTTACATTCTCTTGTAAGGTACATTAACAATTGCTGTGTCTTTTGGGAGAATTAACCCCTTTATCATTACGTGATGGCCCCGTTTATCCCTGATAATTTTCCTTGCTCTGAAGTCATCTATTTCTGAAG